GGTGTGGGGGTGTGGGGGTGTGTGGGTGAGGGGTTGAGGGGGAATGGGGATCACATGGTGTTCTTATCAGGGGAAAGTGCTGGCGAGGGGAGCGAAGCCACAGGCTGGGGGGTGCAGTGGGTTCCAGGGGTCTGAGCAGAAGGGAATGGCTGCGTGAGCTTTAGCTGGGCAGGTTCCCCCCTGACTTGGGAGCGAGCGTGCTAGTAGGCGACACACCACGCGCAAGCTAGCAAGCTGGCTCCGCAGGCAGCGGAAATGGAAAGGCACGCGCGCTGCGGCTGCGGGTATTTGGCAGGTTGTGAAGCTCCCTGGGAATCGAGGGTTGCGGGCTTGGGGTTTCAGATCGGTCTGCGCGCGCGTGGGCTTTACCAGGACCAGGGCCAAAATTAACACCCATACCCCATAAGACATGCAGAGTCTAATGGGGTGTAAATGAGTGTATTTCCACTCAGTTACATGACCTCACCACCCTGCGCTTGATCTATGATTGGCCTGGATCCTCAGATCAACTGCCGGCGCGTGAGGGACAGCCAGGCCAACGTGCTGGAGGGCGTGCTGAGTCAGCCCCAGTTCGGGGCCATCCTGGCCGCAGAGGCGGCGCTGCAGGTGCGGCCCCCGGCTGTGATTTATGTTGCATTTTGGAGGGGAGGGATATGGGAGAACGAGTGCAAACGGGGCTCCACTGGGCAGCAGGAGGCAGGGGGCACCCCCTGCATTTCGGCCGGTCAGCCGTGCCAGCTGGCCGCACCGACGCCGGCGACGACAGCGACAGCAATGGGTTGCGTGTTTGTTGCTGTCGCGTGTGATGTGGATGCTTTGCAGTTTGGCGCCGCTCGCCGCCCGGTGGCCAGAACAATCCTTCACGCTCCCCCGCACCCACACACACAAATAAGTACACACGAAATTGCTGCCCCACTCCCATGCAAATTCTTCCATCCCATCCCAACACGTACACATCCGCACACGCCTACATACGCATGCGCACCACACCGACGGCATTGCCCACATCAACTCGCAACCACCTCTTCCCCTCCAAAGGTTGCCATAGTGGAGCTGGGCGGCCGCGCCTTCAGCACCGTGCCACTCAGCGCCACGCAGTGGGCCGCCTGCATCGCCATGGGCGCCACCTCCCTCCTAGTGCGCGCCGGGCTGCGCCTCGTGCCAGTTGGCAGCGGCGGCGGCGGCGGCCGCGTCGGCGCGCGAGCGTGAGGGCGTGCGTGTGAGGGCCCGCGCTGGGGAAGAGGGCGGCGGCGCCCTCGTTGAATGTTGTGTGGGGAGTGGCCCGGCCGGCGGCGCGGCGGGCTGCAAGGGGTCCTGTGTGTTTTCTTACATGAACACACATGTGTTCCGCAGGGCGCGACCCCCCAAATTGCGCGATCGGGTCACCCCTCCTCAGCGCAGCGCAGCAGAACGCATCGCAGCGCAGCCCCACAAAGCCTCGAGCGGGCGTCGGCACGGCCGGTCCCTTGGTGTTGCCGCAGCAGGCGCCGGCTGGGGATGGGGCGGGGCCGTCGGCTGCGCCGCCGTGTGCCAAGCGGTCGCCTTTGCTGCTCAAAGCAAGCCGCACCTCTTTTCTTGCAGCCCTTCCCGCGCCGCTGCCGCCCTGCAACGCCGCTCGGTCGTGCCACACAAACCTCCAACCAGATTTTGATCCCCAGCCTGTCGAGGCTGCCGCCGGCAAACACTGCAAAATGTTACGCAGGGGGGGGGGAGAGGGTGGCGGTCACATGATCCCATGCAGAGCACCCCTGCATGGTTGATGCCGCCCCACCACGCGGACTAGTCCGGGCTCGGGGCTGCCCCGCCGCCGCGCACGCGTGTTTACGCGCGCCCGCGCCGCCGCCGGCGCAGTGGTGAAGGTGCCGGCGTCCTTGTGGCCCGCGTGCAATGTGTGTTTTGGGGAGCGGGCGCGGCGGCGAGTAGGCCAGGCGCACGATAAGAATGGGCAGAGCACCACTCGAGGCTCCGCGAGGCCGCCTGGGCCTAGCGCAAGGTGTTCGCCCGCGCCCCTTGGCTCCCGCTGCCCTGCCAGCAATTGGGCTGTGCAACAGCACGCGCGCCTCGTCGACCCAGCGCCGGCTGAGGCATTTCTTTGTTGGCGCGCGGATGTTTTTGTCTGCTGTTGTGTTGCGCGCGACGCGGCCTGGTTTCGTCCCCCGCCGTTTTTCAGTTCAGGTCTGGAGCCGCTGCAGCTTTTTCCAACCCAATTTTGCTCGCGGCACCTGCCCCAAGGGGTTGCTGTTGGTTGATCATAGCCCGGTCACGCATGCCGTTACGCACACCCGCTTAGTCCCGCACTTGCACCCTGCTTCCGCGCTGGCATCAGCGCCGCCCATGCCCCACGAACGGTGCCATGGCGCGCGCGCGCCCCGCCTCTGGGGGCGCTGCGTGCGGAGCTTAGGGGCAGCTGGCGTCCCTGCCTTGCGCCCCGCGGCCCGGGGTTTGATCTACTCCGCCTGGCGCCCGCGCCGCGGCGCACAGGCCACACGGGGGTTGCTACGTAACACCCTGCCCCGCCTACCCCTAATGGAATAGTGTGAGTGCCTTCAACCACCTGTGCGCAGACCCGTTGTGAGCAGCTTAGAACCCAATGCCAGTCGCGGCCGTCCGCGTCCAGAGCCGCGCGCGGGGTCATCCGCCACCCACTACCCCTCAGAAAAAGGGGGAGCACCCGCAAGAGACGAGCCCCAAGTTTGTCACGGGTGGGTTAGGGCCAGACGCCTGGCGCGCGCGCCGATTTTGCGCGTTTGTTTCCTGCTGTTTTGTTGGGATCTGTAATTGCAGCATCCGTTTCGCTCGTTTCACCAAGCGCTTCAGACGAGGCAGGGACGAGGTATGGGGTGGGGCCCAAGGGATGACTGCTGAGGGGGGGGGGG